ACTGTCGGAGGGTCAGTGCTGAGGGAGCACTGCACTGTTGGAGGGTCAGTGCTGAGGGTGTACTGCACTGTCGGAGGGTCAGTGCTGAGGGTGTGCAGTGCGGTGCTCCCTCAGCATGGACCCTTATCATTGAACTGCTCACTCAGTACCAAGCCTCCAGATTGCTGACCTTCCAACAATGTAGCACGTGCTCATTACTGACCATCCGCCAGTGCGGCATTTTCTCAGTACTGATCTATCAGAAGTACAGTGCTCCTTTACTACTGACCCTTCAATTGTTGGTGGGTCAGTGCTGAGGGTGTGCCGCACTGTCAGAAGATTGGTACCAAAAACTTTTGTTTTTGCATTAAAACTATGACTACACTTGAAAATATAAATGACTAGTGTTGGAAACCGCTTTGGGATGTTGTGAGTTTAAAATAGGTAATATAGAACTGCTGCGTATTTCTTTTGATTTAGAAGGTGAATAGAACTGTTTTAATTCACAACTCTAACACTGGTCTGATTAATAACAGAGCGTAAAAATGGCATGGAATGCTATGGGTGTACTGACAACAGTTGTCGTGAGAATTTAAAGTCCATTGCTTGCACTTCAAATCAGAAATTTTGTGCCTGGGGTTACTTCAAAGGCCCATATAATCGTAAGTACTCATCTTAATCTCTGTTATTTATGAAATTGCCTCGTGTTATTAGCAAACTTGCGATTGCTTCAGTACCGTGTAGTATAACGCAATGCTTTGCAAGGTGAAAGTACACATCCCCATAAAGCCTGTTTGCTCCCAGGACCATGTTGAGTCTGTGCAATCAGCCATTTCTGTATTTAATCTCCTGAAGCAATGTTCTGTGGGAGTCTTTCCTGATTCTGACCACCTTAATTTGAGCTTTGTGCCCAGACATGAATCCACCTCGACAACTCTCAGTTCAGTCCTGATGTACTGCTGCCTCATCGCATAGCAGCCCATTATGTCCCAGCAATCGATCTGTATCCATTTCTATAACCCATTATTTTAATCCCACAACTCTTCAAACACGCATTCGTTCCTTTTTAATACCTATATTATGCTTTTACATCGTTTAATGATCATTTCCTCATCACTCACTGATCTTAACATAAGCTCCTCTAAAACTCTGCTACTTGAAACTTGTGCCAGCCCCCATTTATGCATTAACCACTCCCCTTGTTGCTTGATGACCTACTGGTTCCCAGTTCTACAGTGGCTCCATTTTATAATTCTCATCCTTGTTTTCAAATCTCACCTTCAGACCTCTGGCCCCAAACACAATCTCCTCCAGGGCCCACTTCTCTCCTGCTGTCTGCAACCTCCTCTAGCACTTATATTCTACCTTTCGTTGTAATTTCCTCCAGCCCCTACATCCCTCCCTATCTCTGTAACTTTCCCCAGCCCACACACCCCTCCCTATTTCTGTAACCTTCCCCAACCCTTACATCCCCTTCTCTATCTCTGTGATCTCCTCCAGCCCCTACACCCCTCCTTATTTCTGTGATCTCCTCCAATCCCTGCACCTCTCCCTATCTCTCTAACCTCCTCTGGTCCTTCCAACATTTTGAGATCTCTGAGTTCCTCTGAATCTGCCCTCTTGACCATATCCCAATTTCCATTGCTACATCGGTCATGGCCTTCATTCACCCTTTATCGGCAGAATCAAATATCATTGAATCATCTGAAATGCTAACAGATCCCAATCCTGATCACTGAGGATATCTTGCTCATTATTGCCAGCATTCATGTCCATTTCCATTCAAACAAAGCCTCCTGTAATGGGAGTGCTAATCCAATATAATATCCGCAACTTCCCAGCCCTTCAGTTGTCAGGCCTGGCACAACAAGGAGGCTCAATTTTTGTCCTGCCGGTGCAGAGCTGATTAACTAGGCACTGCAAAAGACATCTTGGCACCTCCTTAACCCTCTGAAACCCCCAACACCCACCTCACACCAAGGAAACTTCTCTCCCCTGCCCATATCTGTACCTTTGCAATTTCTCCCTCTCCTGGCAAATTCCAATCCTCTTCCCCCTCACCTCTCTCTTCCCCCCTCTTCTCTCTCCTCCCCACCACATGACCCACCTTCTTGATTGCTATTAAGGTTTACCTGTTAATTGAAAGCCAATCTTAGTACAGGAACAGGAGGAGGCTATTTAGCCCCCTCCTCGAGCCTGTTACACAGGAACAAGAGGAAGCCTCCATTAGAGCCTTACACAGGAGCAGGAGGAGGCAATTCAGCCCTCTTGAACCTGTTAAACCCAGAATAGATGGAGGCCCATTTGGATCTCTCAAGACCGTTACACAGGAAACAAGAAGAGACCTGTGAATACTCTTTCTCCCTGTTGAAGAGGCAGATGCCCCTTCAGGTCCATCCAGCTTTTTACACAAGAATGGGAAGAGGTCTGTTCAGCCCACTCAAGCCATTCGCAGGTAAAGAAATGCTTCCTAACCTGCTCTGCTTAATATTTTCCTTAACCTTTCTCATTTTTAAGGGTTTGCTGATCTGCTTTTGGACACATCTATAAATATGTCAACAAATGAAGATCAAGGTATGTTATCTGAAGCTCACTGCTTTTTTTTTCAATTAAAGCCCTCCATCATTTCCATAGTGACAAAGTGTAGAATATATCATTGGTCTTCACTGCGAGGCCTTGCCATAATTTGCAGCCCTGACAGTGTATTAATCTTTCAGATGTTGAAAGTCGTTCAATCCGTTTTCCGTTTCGAGGCTGTGCGAGTCCGGAGGTTTGTGGGCTTCCCATTTCAACTGTCAACAAGATTAGCTGCTGCTGTGGAAACTTGTGCAACAGGAGTGTCAGCACACAGCACAACATGCTGCTCCTCCTGGTGACAGGACTCCTTCCTTCCCTCAGGATGCCCCTGTAGGTGGAAATCTGAAAGACTGCAGGCTTCGAATGGCCAAATGAAATCCTGACAGGAGGACCTGGTCTGAAAACCTTTTTGAGGGACATGAAGATCAAGAAAAGATCTTACTCAGTGTCTTTCAGGACCTCACTTCTTACCAAAGTGATTTCACGCCCAGTGTTGGTACTTTTAAACTAAAACTTGTACTGGAGGAGACATGATTGCCAACTCACATGCAGCAAGCTCCCAGAAATAAGGACATTATTTCCTTTTAGTGATATCAGTTTAGGCTTAAGTATGCTACACCCAATACCTGCTCCTGGCAGGTCTTCCAAACTGTGACTGTGAAAACTTTTGTATCCACCAGAGAACAAGGACAGTAGCATCAATTTAGAACTTTACCCAAAGGACCTTCGACAGTGCGGCGCTCCCTCAAGACTGACCCTCTGACAGTGCAGTGCTCCCATGGTACTGACCCTCTGACAGTGCAGCGCTCCCACAGTACTGACCCTCTGACAGTGCGGCGCTGTCTTAGCGCTGACCCTCTGACAGTGCAGTGCTCCCTCAGCACTGACCCTCCGACAGTGTGGCACTCCCACGGTACTGACCCTCTGACAGTGCAGTGCTCCCACGGTACTGACCCTCTGACAGTGCAGCGCTCCCACAGGACGGACCCTCTGACAGTGCGGCGCTGTCTTAGCACTGACCCTCCAACAGTGCGGCGCTCCCTCAGCACTGACCCTCCGACAGTGCAGCAGCTCTCGCTCACAGTTCAAATTTTTGGGATCTTGTTGTACTGATATCTGCAGCCACGATTCCTACATTTTGATAGTGACTCCTCTGCATAAGCACAATTATTTGTAAATTCTGTAGGTGATGAAAGTTGCTGCAGAAATGCCGGTCTCTTACGTTTGGGACTTGGTGGGTTGGGTGTTGGAGTGGTGAAAAGTGGCAAGTCATGTATTTGTGACACCCATTAACCCTCTTCACGCTGCCTGTCTGAGAGGGCATGACAGAGGCAGCTTCTACGTTGGCTGGTGGCCCTTGTAGGACAGCTGCAAGCTGTACTTCGACAAGATCTTCCTCGCTGACCGTGTGCCAGTTAATCCATTCAGCTCATTGTTCCACATGAGACCTCCAGCTTGGCCAATTAAATTGGCATTAAAATGGCATTTGTCTTTTTATCCATAGGTTTTCCATGGAGATTGTTGCAGGATTTCTCCAGGTTTGACCACACACTGGTGAAATAACACTTTGTACCATCTGGAAACAGCAATTGTTTTATAACCTTTGAGTCTGTATATAGACTTGAAACTTCAAATGTGTATTTCGTGCTTTACACACAGGGTATTTTGGAAATGAAATGAGTTATTTACTAATGGCTGTGCTGTATTTATTTGGGATTGATCTCTACGTGTTGTGATTGAACGGTATCACTCTATCCCTCTCAGCACTTGCTTTGGGAACATATTGAAACTGCGTTGAGATTTAATTCCTTCCTCAAGATAAGTTCACACCTGCATTGGACTCCAGGAACTTCTAAAGAGAATTGGCAACATTCTAAACAGAAGTAATAATGGCAGTGATATGAGGAAAGGGTGGGCTGAAATGTTTTTCTATGGGCGCGCAATGTGCAGAAATGTTGGCATTTATTGCAAATGGGGTGGAGTGTCCATGAATTCTTGCTGCATCTGTACAGGGTCTTAGTGACACTGGACTCCTGCTGAGTGAGGTACTGAGTACAGTTTTGTTCAGCTTACTTCAGAAAGGATTGCTTTGAAACAGCTCAGAGTAGCTTCTCCAGACTGATTCCTGACATGAGGGTTTTACCTTTTGGGGAAAGGTTGGACAGCTTGAGCCGAGACACATTGGAATTCAGAAGTATGTGAGGTAATCTTATTGAAATGTCGTGGATTCTGTGGCGGGCTTTTGACAGGATAGGTGCTGAGAGGGTGTTTCCTCTTGTGGTGGAATCTAGATTTAAGGATCTCCCATTTAAGACAGAGGTCAGGAGCAATTTTGTCTCTGAAATTTGTTCACGTTTGGACCCCATCCCTCACCCAGCGGTGGTGGCTGGGTCATTGAATATGTGCAAGGCTGAATTAGACAGATTTCTGATTCACAAGGGAGTTATGTGTTTCAGGGGGCAAGTGGAGAAATGGAGTTGAGGCCTAAATGAGATCAGCCATGATCTTATTGATTTGGCAGAGCAGATCCAATGGGACAAATGGTGTGCTCCTGCTTCTATTTCTTATAAGCTTAAATTAGGATTTCCAAACTTACAGGAGGACTACATTTCAATGATGGACTTCTTGGGGTGTGAAATACATTAGGACGTCCTGAGGTGGTGGTAGCAGAGTAGAAGTGCAAGTCTGTTACCTACCTGTTGTAGCCCATGTTAATTTTTATTTCATAATTGTTCATTTGCAATATTTTAGATGTTAGAGTCTCTACATGATATCTGTATGTGTCTATGTGTGCCTATCTGTCTGTGTATGTTTGTGTGTCTGTCTGTCTCTGTATGTTTGCATGTCTGTGTTTCAGTGTGAGCATGTATCTGTCTCTGTTTGTGTGTCTATGTTAGCATGTCGGAGATATGTTTACCTTGCTTCAATATTTCTTGCATGTCTCTGTCTCACCCAGAGTGGAGGAGAGGTCCTTACTACCTGCTGCCCATTCTGCTATCCTGACAGCAGTTTACATTCCATTCCTTGTGGAAGTGATGAGTACATTTGATGAAAGATACAGTGCTACAAATAGAGTGTAGAGCTGGATGAACATAGCAGGCCAGGCAGCAGCAGAGGAGCAAGAAAGCTGACGTTTCGGGTCTGGACCCTTCTTCAGAAGGCTATAGAAAATCGCCAGAGGGAAATTACTATATCTGTACAGCAGAAAGTTTGCATTATCCAAACAGTGTCCACTATTCATCAATCGCATTACTGCCAATTTGCATTAACAAAACATGCATTATAGCAGAAATACCTGTACAGTGTTGGTCTGAGGGAACAACTGAGGTGCTAAATGAGTATAGTGCCACTGTCACAGACTTCCATCAGTAAATGTGCAGAGGACTGCATGCCAAAGAAGTTAATCCGAGTGTTCCCCAACTCGAAGCCATGGATAAACTGAGAGATCCACTCTCTAATGAAGTCTAGGTCTGAGGCATTCAAGTTGGATGACCCTGACCTGTACAGGAAATCTAGATTCGATCATTGCAAGGCCATCAGGGACACCAAGAAACAATAGAAGATTAAGCTAGAGTCCTGGACTAAGCACACAAACACGTTGATTGTGGCAAGGCTTATACAATATAACGGGCTACAGAGCAAAATCGAGTAGAATCACTGACAACAGTGCATCCCTCCCCGATGATCTCAATGCATTCTATGTCCCCACAGTCACCGTCACAGACGTCAGATTGGCCTTAGATCGTAGAATCCCTACTGTATGGAAGCAGGCCACTTGGCCCATCAAGTCCACACCGACCCTCCTCCAAAGAGCATCCCACCCAGACCCACTCTTCTACCCTATCCCTGTAATGCCTGTATTTCCCATCAAATCCACCTAGCCTGCATATCCCTGGATACTATGAGCAATTTAGCATGGCCAATCCACCTAACCTGCAAATCTTTCGACTGTGAGAGGAAACCAGAGCACCAAGAGGAAACTCACACAAGCATGGGGCAAATGTGCAAAGTTTGTGGGAAGCCAGGGAAATGATTGCTGGGCCCCTTGCTGAAATCTTTGTGTCATCGATAGCCATGGATGAGGTGCCAGAAGACTGGAGTTTGGCTAATGTGCTGTCATTATTTAAGAAAGGTGGTAAGGAAAAGCCAGGGAACTATAGACTGGTGAGCCTGATATCAGTGGTAGGTAAGTTGTTGGAGGGGATTCTGAGGGACAGGATTTACATGTATTTGGAAAGACAATAACTGATTTGGGATAGTCAGCATGGCTTTGTGCATGGGAAATCGTGTCTCACTAACTTGATTTGAGTTTTTTGAAGAAGTAACGAAGAGGATTGATGAGAGCAGAGCAGTGGACATGATCTAAATGGACTTCAGTAAGGTGTTTGATAAGGTTCCTCATGGTAGACAGGTTGGCAAGGTTAGATCACATGGAATTCAGGGAGAACTGGCTGTTTGGTACAGAACGGGCTCGAAGGTAGAAGACAGAGGGTGGTTGTGGAGGGTTGCTTTTCAGACTGGAGGCCTGTGACCAATGGTGTACCATAATGATCGGTGCGGGATCCACTGCCTTTCACCATTTATATAAATGATTTGGGTATGAATGCAGGAGATATGGTTAGTAAGTTTGTGAATGACATCAAAATTGGAGGTGTAATGGACAACGAAGAAGGACATCTCTGAGTACAATGGGATCTTGATTAGATGAGCCAATGGGCTGAGGAGTGGCAGATGGAGTTTAGTTTGGATAAATGTGAGGTACTGCATTTTGCAAAGGCAAGTCAGGGCAGGACTTCTACACTTAATGGTGGGATCCTGGGGAGTGTTGCCGAACAAATAGACCTTGCAGTGCAGGTTCATAGCTCCTTGAAAGTGGAGTCACAGGTAGACAGGATCATAAAGAAGGTACAAAAACAGAAGTTGCTGGAAAGGCTCAGCAGGTCTGGCAGCATCTGTGAAGAAAAAAATCAGAGTTGACGTTTCAGATCTGGTGACCCTTCCTCAAAACTAGTAAATAAGGTTTTTGGTATGTTTACCTTTATTGGTCAGTGCATTGAGTGTAGGAGTTGGAATGTCATGTTGCAGATGTACAGGACATTGGTTCGACCACTTCTGGAGTACTGCTTTCAATTCTGGTCTCCCTGCTATAGGAAAGATATTGTTAAACATGAAAGGGTTCAGAAAAGATTTACAAGGATGTTGCCAGGATTGGACAGTTTGAGCTATAGGGAGAGGCTGAATAGGCTGGGGCTATTTTCCCCAAAGCACTGGAGGCTGAGGCGTGGCCTGATAGTGGTTTGTAAAATCATGAGCATGGATGGAGTGAAAAGCCAAGGTCATTTTCCCAGGGCATTTGAGTCCAAAACTAAAAGGCATAGGTTTAAGGTGAGCGGGAAAAGATTTTAAAGGGGTCTAAGGGGCGACTTTTTCAAGCAAAGGGTGGTGTGTATATAGAATGAACTGCCAGAGGCTGGCACAATTACAACATTTGGATGGATATATGAACAGGAAGGGTTTAGAGGGATATGGGCCAAATTCTGGCAAACGGGACTAGATTAATTTAGAATATCTGGTCAGCATGGACGAGTTGGACCGAAGGGTCTGTTTCTGTGCTGCACATCTCTATGACTCTATGACACTGGCATCTCACCATTTTGTAATTGATTGATTGATTTATTGTCATGTGTACTGAAATACAGTGAAAAGTTATGTTTACAAACGGTATAGGCAGATCACAGCAAGCAAAGGATGTACAGATCAAAAAGATTCAGAGACAT